ATAAAACAAGATTTTCCATTAAAAACGGTAATGTTGATACAATAACATAATAATAAACTGAGGTTCTGGTAAAACAGTAAAGTCGTAAAAATATACATTGTTAAAACAAAATGATAAGTAGATTCACAGTAACACGAACAGAGTAACAAGACGATTCGAAGTACATTCCAGGGTAACCGTCACCCTCACCCCTATCCGTTTTCACACCTCTCTCCTCCCCCCACGCCTCCTCTGGTTAAATATGCATACACTTAGAAATAATAAAAAGCAAAGAGAAAATCATGAATAACAACTCCGGTCAAAAATTACACGAATCGTGGTACGCATATTTGACCAGAGGATGCGTGGGGGGAGGAGAGAGGTGTGAAAACGGATAGGGGTGAGGGTGACGGTTACCCTGGAATGTACTTCGAATCGTCTTGTTACTCTGTTCGTGTTACTGTGAATCTACTTATCATTTTGTTTTAACAATGTATATTTTTACGACTTTACTGTTTTACCAGAACCTCAGTTTATTATTATTATGTTATTGTATCAACATTACCATTTTTAATGGAAAATCTTGTTTTATCACGTGCTTACTCTTTCAATTAATGTTCAACGCATCGAATCCACATGTCAAATGTAAGTCCACATTCTTTGTTCATTTCTGTCAATCACGGTCTTTTTATAAAAATTGTTAACCTCCTATTAATTTTGCAGCAAAAAGCTGATGAGGGACTCCATGTCCGAAATGCATTCTGAAAATAAAATAGTGAGTGTTTTTCTAAATCTAATTTGATGTCTTGTGGTGGTGTAATAAGTCTAGCGGTAAAGTAAAGCCAGTCTTAGCGCTCACAAGCCATACGAATCTTTTGTTTACAAAAAAAATATTATTCTTGTAAAACTACCAAAAACAGTTTCTTTTGTGAAGACATTGTTTGCTGTTAATAAGAAAATTACTTGAGTGATATGATATATATAAAGCTGAATTAATTGATGCATCTTTAACAGTGGGTGATGAAGTTTCTACTTCAGTGTGAATAGTGGAAAGATTTCACTTTCAACTATCTGTGCCTGAAGATGGTAATGTAATTGAAAGCATTAGCATTATTTAAACTTTACCCATGTACTTAAAAAGTGCATTGAGTAATTCAGCTGATTAATTACAATGGGTAGTTCATCCTTATAAAAATTAGACGACAAAGATCAAACAGCTTTTTATTAATTAAGTTTGAATATCATGTTTAATTACAGTTTAAAATTTTATATAAATTTCTTCATACTTCTTTTTAAAATTAATAACAATTATAAAAATTGCTGTTTTAAAATTCAAAATAAAATTTTCATATTTCTATAATAAATTATATTGGAGAATTATTATAATAATTCTGTAATAATTATTCTAGTGGCAAAAAGAAAATTAACTTGATAAAAGTTTAATAGAAAAATTATATTTTATGGAAACTACCAGTTTTTTTTTTTCCATAAAGACATCAAGCTATTGATTTTCACTATACTTTTTCTAACAATCTAAATTTAAAAAAAATATAGATACTGTATGTAAAATTATAGGTGTTGATGTTAGTGTTTGAGTTATTAAAGTTATTTTTGCTTTTAGTTGATCCATTTATCAGTCAATAAATTTTTAAAATGTAAGCTATAATTTGTTTTGAAACGTTTTATTCGATATATCCAGTTATATTGATTTATTTTGTATTTTGAAATATAAATATATATGCAAATGTATATATTAAATTTTCAAAATTTTATTATAACATATAAACAAGTTTAAGTATAACTTACAGCAAGTAGTACAGCTATTTCACCTAAATAATACAGGAAAGAAATGATTTATTTTATATGTTAATTGAAATTTATTTCTTTAACTGTCTTCAAAGTCTTTTGAGAATGGATTAGAGTAGATTTGAAAATTTTAAAGAAATAAATTTCAATTAAGTTCTAGAATACAGGATTTTTTCCAGTAACTTTTACTAGAAAGAAATTTGTATTCTGCATTAAATAATGTATTAGTGTTACTTATTTGTTGGATTTTTACTGTATATTTTATTACAGGTAAAAAAAATATAGATAAAATTTCTGTTTTTATGTTATAGAGAGTTACTAATGATGATTTTGATTCTATATTTTATAATTTGCATTTTTATAAATATTTAAATCCTGAAATAAGGAAGAAAAACACGAGTAAGGCAAACAGGAATAATAATATGTTGAAATTTATTATTTTTTACATGGAACAGTTTATCAATAAGAATGACCACAACACTATTCTGAAGCATTGATGTATTTTTTTTAGGAGTCATACTTAGAAGTAATCAATGGCTAAGTTCATTTATTAAAATTTAATAATAAATTGTTAATGTGCACAAATAATTTTAGAGATTGGAGCAAAAGTTAATCTGAGAAAAAAGCAATATTTCTTGTCATTTGTAATTAAGTTCTTAGTAACACTGTTTAATTATAATATTCAATCATAAAAAAAAATTAGCAAATGCATTCTAATTAAGTAAACCCATCATTTAAATCAGTGTTTCCCAAACTTTCAACATCTGTGTACCCCTTCTATAATTTTCGTAACACTGAGTACCCCTCGTCAAAAAAAAATTGCATATACTTTAATAACAATCTAAATATATTTATTTTTTCCTTTTTTAGTACATAAACAAAATAATAATAAACAAAAAATTAAATTTATTCATAATAAAATATAAATGAAAGTTATATTAAAAATAACCTTTATTAGGATCAATGAGAAGGATGAAATTGTTTATGTTGAGACGACAGATTATCATAATTTGGTTCCCTGGTTGTTATTTTTAATTTGAGATGCGGTTCCACATTCAAAAGTCTGTTCTTTTTTTTTTTGACTCACTGTCTACAAATGCTGAAAAAGCAACTTTACATAGATATGAAGTTGGAAAAGGCAAGATGAATTACAGGACTTTTTCTGTTAAAATCGGATACACATGTTACATTTGTAATCAGAATGATGTTAAAGTACACTTCTCATGTTTATTTTTCAAGAATCCGTCTGAAGCTAATTTCAACAATTGCTCTTCTTCCGCATGCGGTAAACCTTCTGGCATGGATGTTGTATTAATGTTGAATGGATCTCTTATCCATTCAATATTTTTGTTTAAATCAGGAAAATAGTTTTTTAGGCTCACTTGTAAACTTTTTGTATGCTGTGTTATTCATTTCAGAGTATCAGCATCAATTTTAGCAGCCAAACTTGTTATAAACTCATGAAGAGAGGAAAACGACGAAAACCACTTCTCTGTTATCAACTCTCTTTTGCCACAAATTTAGTTTTGCGATGATAGCATTCACTTTATGTTGAACATAAAACAATGAAATTTCTTTACCTTGCAATGATAAGTTGAGGCAATTTAAAACAGAGAATATATCTGCTAAGTATGCCAGTTTACAAAGCCATTTCCAGTCATGTAAACAATTTCTCAGCTCAAATCTATCATTAAGAAAAACTTGAAGTTCATGTCTAAGTTCAAATAATCAGTTTAGAATTTTCCCTCAAGATAGCCAACGAACATTGGAGTGAAAAAGAAGCTGACTAAGACTACTTCCCATTTCTTCACACATTTGTGAAAAAAGTCGTGCATTCAAAGGATGGCCTTTAATGTAGTTAATGATTTTCACACTTTCATCCAGAACTTTCTGTAGATCAGCTGGCATGTTACGTGTTGCCAAAGCCTCTGTGTAGCCAGACTGCACATTGTGCTAATAAATAATAATAATAATAATGTGTATGCACCAATGTGTGGATATGACATTTGGGGCAACATTTTGAATTCTTGCAACGAGCCCTTTATTAATTCCGACCATACTTTTTGCTCCATCTATTCCAATCAGTTTTGTTCTCTTGCATAGATTTATTCATAACATTAAAGATATCTTCTCCTGTTGTGTGATCTGATAAAGGTTGACAAAATAAAAAGTTGTCATGAATTTCTTGATCCTTTTCATATCTAAAAATATCATAAGATTTGCAAAATTCACAATATTAGTGGACTCATCTATTTGCAATGTATAATAACCACATTTAGAAATATCAGACAATAACATCTGTTTTACATTATTAGACATACCAATGATTTGTCGATGAACTGTATTATTTGAGAGGGGAACACGGTCAAAAGTTTGTTTCGCTCTATCTCCTTTCATTACTTCTGCCATTATCTTAACTGCAGACTTGATTAAAGTTTCACCAATTGTCTCCGTTGCACTATATTTCACAATTAAAAGCGACATGCAATATGAAGCTTCTAGGATTTTTTGATTGTCACCTCCTGTCAAACCCCACTTTACTTTTTCAGACTGATTTAAATCCTTAAGTTTGTTTTCAAAAAATTGATGGGTTTATCTTTGTACTGATTGTGGTTTGTCTCAAAATGGCACTTTACGTTGGAAGGTTTCATGCTTTCATTTGTTAGATTTTCAAAACAAATGATGCAAAGTGGAATAGGCTCTTTTTCATCTCCAGTCCATGAGAATCCAAATTTAAGATATTCTTTGTCATATTTGCGAGTTTTCTTTGCTTTTTTCTTAACTGGTTCTTTTAGAATTGAAGGTGGTTCTCCATCGTTAATTTCATTATTTTCTGTTTGTTGAATGCTGGTAAAATTACTGCTTTCTTTCAGTTTAGAACTTCCAGATTTCAACCAGCAATCCATAATCTTGAATGTTAGGGATAAAAATTATATTTTGTAAAAATAATCAAAATCAATGGGACTTGCCATACATTTCTAAATTCTAAATTCAAAGGTTGGCTCAACGGTGAATTTTTCATTTAGTCCCTCTATTGAACGATTTGACATCATGTTTTGTAGAAAAAATGAAATGCTTTCGTTGAGAGTAATGTTGAGAGATCGCTTTTCAAAATGACTAACTTAAGTAATGAGAAGGTGGCAATTGTGACTGTTTCGTTAAATAGTATTTCTGAGAGTAGAGGGGGTTATGAGATGTTTTTTAAATCAAATCCTAAAGATAATGAGGATATTCCATTTCTATATGCTGCTGCAATTGAAAAATCAAAAAAAGCCAAAATAGAAAGCTATGTGGAAAATATTGTTTTTAGATATAGCGATATGGACTTTAGGTCTCATTTTCATCTTTCTAGAAGCACTGTCGAAGTAAGTCTCTGCTAAGAATTGTTAGTTGTAACTATCTACAGAAAAATTGCTTTATTTGGCATTTTTAGCTTTTTATTAATACTAAAGCACATAACAAACATTTCTTATTAGAAAAATTCGAACCATATAACATATATGGTTTGAATTTGAACTGAGGAAGATCGCTCAAAATGGTCGAAAACGTTTTTAACGCATTAAACGTTGTGCTGGAATAAAGAAAAATGTTTGTTTATTTTATTTAATTAATTCTAGTAAGCATTTATTTATTCATAATAAAAATTTTAAGCTTCTTAACATGCCTAAGAATGTACTGTACATGCAATTTTTTGTCACATAATTGTTTAGTCTCAAAAACAAAGCATAGTTTTTAATACAAATATGTGCATAGGTTGCCAGACAATCACGATGATTAAAAAGATGCAACCAAACATAGTTTATGCCTATGAATACATATGCAAGTTTTCTGCTGCAGAACAGAAAACTGTACATGCATTCGTAGGCTTATTCTGACAAAAATAGAGAATAATGGAGGAAATATTTCTTATTTGATTGATACATGCTGTGTATACTTGAATTAAATTATAATTTTTTATTTCATTATCAAGTTAGATACTTTGTTATTATATAAGATGTTTAAATATGAAAATTCACAGGTTTGATTTGTTAATCAAGTAGTTTAATAAACTTTTGACCAAATTTATTAGTTTAATCATTCTTATTACAAATAAGAATGATTAAACTAATAAATTTGGTATAAAATCAGGCAGTCAGTCCACCATCTTTAAACCAAATTCATTAGACTAATTATTTCTGTTACAACCTGAAATTATCCTGGTTTATTAGACTTAGTTGAGTTTTGTGTATGTTTATATATTAATTGTTAATTTTAATTTCATACTTTTCACAGAAAAACTTTTCTCTTTTAATGAATAAATTATATAATGATAGATTAAAATTATAAAGAATGTTAAAGTACACTTCTCATGTTTATTTTTCAAGAATCCGTCTGAAGCTAATTTCAACAATTGCTCTTCTTCCGCATGCGATAAACCTTCTGGCATGGATGTTGTATTAATGTTGAATGGATCTCTTATCCATTCAATATTTTTGTTTAAATCAGGAAAATAGTTTTTTAGGCTCACTTGTAAACTTTTTGTATGCTGTGTTATTCATTTCAGAGTATCAGCATCAATTTTAGCAGCCAAACTTGTTATAAACTCATGAAGAGAGGAAAACGACGAAAACCACTTCTCTGTTATCAACTCTCTTTTGCCACAAATTTAGTTTTGCGATGATAGCATTCACTTTATGTTGAACATAAAACAATGAAATTTCTTTACCTTGCAATGATAAGTTGAGGCAATTTAAAACAGAGAATATATCTGCTAAGTATGCCAGTTTACAAAGCCATTTCCAGTCATGTAAACAATTTCTCAGCTCAAATCTATCATTAAGAAAAACTTGAAGTTCATGTCTAAGTTCAAATAATCAGTTTAGAATTTTCCCTCAAGATAGCCAACGAACATTGGAGTGAAAAAGAAGCTGACTAAGACTACTTCCCATTTCTTCACACATTTGTGAAAAAAGTCGTGCATTCAAAGGATGGCCTTTAATGTAGTTAATGATTTTCACACTTTCATCCAGAACTTTCTGTAGATCAGCTGGCATGTTACGTGTTGCCAAAGCCTCTGTGTAGCCAGACTGCACATTGTGCTAATAAATAATAATAATAATAATGTGTATGCACCAATGTGTGGATATGACATTTGGGGCAACATTTTGAATTCTTGCAACGAGCCCTTTATTAATTCCGACCATACTTTTTGCTCCATCTATTCCAATCAGTTTTGTTCTCTTGCATAGATTTATTCATAACATTAAAGATATCTTCTCCTGTTGTGTGATCTGATAAAGGTTGACAAAATAAAAAGTTGTCATGAATTTCTTGATCCTTTTCATATCTAAAAATATCATAANAACATAATTTAATACAGTATATAAAAATATTGTTAAAATATACAGATAAAAATAATACCTTTATGTCATTGATTATTTAACTTCAAACTGAAAGGTTAAGAACCTTTTCCTCAGTGTTTTATTTTTGTCACTTGGCATAGAAACTATGGAGAGAATAGTTGAAAAAAATTATGCTGAGAAATATGCCATTGTCAGTTTCAGAGACATAAGTTTACAACTTACATTAGTGGGCAATCAGTGATGGATATTATTTGTCAAGACAAACATGAAATGATGAAAGATAATAAGTCTCCATCACTAAAAGATTTGAGATAGAGCATGTATTGTGTGTTTTCTTAATATTGCATGCTATTCATTTTAAGAAGCCAGTTTTTACTACAGATTAGTTTTTTAGAGCAGATAGTATCTCATTACCTGCCTCAAAAACATTTAATCTGCAGTAAAAATGGGCTTCTTAAAATTAATAGCATACAGTATTATGAAAACATACAGAGCTGCTCATAAGTGATAATCTATAAAGTGTGTGTGTATTTACATAAATTACACTATGTATATTACTTTGTATAGTTTTAAAAATTATAAAGAAAGATTTTAATATAGTGTGTTTTTCTGATGAAATAATAAGATATCTTTTTATCTCGATTTATCATTTTATCTTAATATTACTTTATTATTTTATAATTATGATATAATTACATATGAGGCATATAAATAATATATTAACAGAAGCTAACTTAGGTGAAAGAAGAAAACAGAGCAGAATTCAATAAATTATGAAATAGTTAAGGTTTCATAAGTCTGCCAGCCCTTTTCTAAAAAAAAAAAAATAGTTAAGGTATTGATGAATAGAAGAAATTTAATTTCACATTCAATATAGCTGATATACAACAACTAATAAAATGTATGAAATTTGACATTTGTATTAATAACAAAAATTTTTAAGTATCACATTTAATGTTCTGTTTTTCCTCTACATTGAGAAGAAAATTTTTATTCCAAGACAGAATGCAATTAAAAGAAAAAGTATATAAAGAACTGATCATATTTTGCTAAACAAATGTAATTATAAAGATTAAAAAGGAGAAATTCTCAATGATGTCTTAATTGTAATCTATTTGAAATTGATTTTTATTCTGAAAATAGTAAACATTCTCAAACATATTTTATCAATCAAAAGTAATTTAAGCAAATTACTTTTTATCATTATTATTTTTAACAAATTTTAAAATTATAAAAGAACTAGACTCACAACAACCTTTAAGTGACCAGTAAAATATTTAATTGAAAAACAAATGTTTTCGACCGTATTTTTCAGTCTTCTTCAGGTTAAAAGTTCCGAGATTCGAAAAGCTGTTGTGCTTAATATTTGTTTTTCAATTAAATATTTTACTGGTCACTTAAAGGTTGTTGTGAGTCTATTATATATTGTACCAGTACTGTAAACAATTGTTAAAAATATTTTTTTTAATCATTTAATACAATAGTTTTTTTCTATATTTTAGTGTATTTTGTTTGAATTTGTACACTGCTGTTTTAAAATACATCTGATATGGTTATTGACTTTCATAATAAAAATTCAAATTTAAATGAATTAAAACTTTTTATNCTGCACCAGCTGGTATTGTGTAGAAGAATTCTTATCTTGTTTCTCTAGTCCTCCAGCATTGGGCATTCCATAAGATAATGACATACCCATCTGAGACACAGAGCTTTGCAAGAACTTCCTGGCATCTGGGAATGTGCAGAAGGAACAAAAAAGAGAAGAATATGATTAAAATATATCAAAGACAAGTCTATCCAATAAGGATCACCATTTATTTTGTATTTCAGACATACACAGTAATGGCGACAGGCCTTCCTTTTTAGGCTACATGCCGCCAAAAGGTAAAAAATTTGTGTTTTTAAAGGACTTTTTTTTACCTTTTGGCGGCATGTAGCCTAAAAAGGAAGGCCTGTCGCCATTACTGTGTATGTCTGAAATACAAAATAAATGGCGATCCTTATTGGACAGACTTGTCTTTGATATATTTTAATAATAATCCAGCCATTGGATGGAAAAATTCAACAAAAAGTTTATAATTTTGTTGATTGACCTTTGTCAGAAGAAAAAAGTAAATTTAAATTTTCAGAACTTTTTGTTTTTAACCTATTGACAAAGAAACTGATAAAATTTGATAATATCATTTATTGCCAGTTAATGTCTTTGCTGTTACCGAGCTTACAAAATGTAATCCACACATGAAAAAATACAGATATATAGAAGAAAAATCAAAACAAGAATAAATATTTTCTTAAAGTACAAATGTGCACAGGCATCACTATAATGGACAGAGAGGATATACCACCCAAACATTTTTGTACTGGCAGATTCCTTTTCAAGATACATATGTATTTTTTTTATTTTATATCATTACAAAAATTAAATTAGGAGTAGAAATGAGTACAATGTACATGATGGTTACATCTAATTTTTTTTTATATCCAGTCAAAGCCCAACTATGAGAAATTTTTCTTATTGTCATTGGCTCTACCCACAATATTGTATGTTCAGATCAACACTGATGCAAATGTGGAAAAAAATACAATATTGTAATATTATTTAAATATTATCAAATAACATAATGATTATTTAAACACATTTTGTTTTGATGAAATATGAACTTAGGGTTTTAAATAAATTATTCTTAATTCACTAGTAAATTATAATCTGCAAATTGAGAAATACTGGTATTACTCCCAAAAATTAAGAAATTTAATCAGGAATATATTGTTGATTTATATTATTATAATGCTTATTTTTATTTGTTTTTATTATATTGTATTACACTTTATAATTGTATTACATTATAGAAATTATATAAAATAAAATTTTTAACCTTTAGTACTTTTTTAATTGATTATAATTTTCACTAGTCTTATTAATACGTAAATTATTCCTTGTTAAATGCATTTAAAAATTAAATATTGATAGTTATAAATCTGAGCAATATCCTGAAAGTTTTGTACAAATAAAATATACACAAATAAAAATATTTATATTGCTTTTATTCTGTATATGCTTTTTAAAACAAATATAAAGTTTAATTAAATAAGGCGTGATTATAATGGAAAAAGTATTTTTAAGTTCTTAATTTAATTAAACTTTGTTTATTTGACATTGC